TGTTTTTTTGAATCTTGGTTTCCCTTGCATTATAATATAGAGTAGACACTGGAGGGGGAGAGAAAGGAATAGTCAGAAACATCACATTAGAAGGCTTGTAAGTGCATCTTCTGCCTTTAACTGGTTGGAATACCTAAAACAGGGCTACAGCGTACCGGGTGAACGAGGCTTTCTGTGGAGCCCTTCCAATACATAAAACTATAGGTAGAAACCAGAACCACATCCAGATCACCAGAGATGAGAAATCCCCACTTGAAGGGACTAGCTGAGGAGCCTGGAATGGTGAGAAGAACAAAAGACACATCTCGAATGGAAGACCTACAGGAAAAATATGACACAATGGAGAGAGATGGACTGCTACTATGGGAACAAACGGGTCGCTCCCCTAGGAGACACTGGGGCAGTCGGTCGGGTCCCACCAATGTAGGCTCCTCCCCAAAACTGAGACTCTGTGGAAATGCACGCTCGGATTGGTAAACACATGCATCACCGTTGGGGAGAAATGGGGTAAAGGCAGCAATGAAGCGGCGAGCTAAGCCTCACAATATTCAGAGGGCTTCTCTGGACCCAGTTGGCGACCTAGTTGGCAAGCAGTGGGAGGAGACCCGAGGACTCCTGGGCTCAGAGTCTGTGACGTGGCCATGGAGGACTCAAGTGGAGAATGGAGCTGCCAGCTGATGAGAACAGAGGGCATGTGCACAAGAACACCCACACTTGCAGATGACACCCATGTGACCGGGACTGGATGACTGGATGATCAGAGCTCAACCAGGAGAAGAAAGAGGGGGAGGGGGAAAGAAGATTGAGCTGATCCAAGCTGATAAACTTGACCTATGCATACGAATGCAGTGACACAAAAGAGGCGATAAATCCTTACAGCAAGAAATATTCCCACCCCCTCCACACAGAGAAGAGAGGGGCAACTTGGACACTGGATATCCAAATGGGGAGGGAGGGACTACAAAGGCAAGAAATAACTGGCTTACAAGCTTTCAAGAGGGAACCTAGAGCTAGGGGGCATGGAGGAAGGCAGAATCACCAGTGAGTACTATCCAATTTGTCTAGGTGGAGCTGATGAAATGAAATACAGATGGGTAACTGTATGATACTGTAGTGAATAATGGTTATCAAGATGGATTGTGCGTGTTGGAAATGCAAGGGTAGGTGTTTTGTAGCAAAGAAGAGAGCGATTATTTCTCCAGTCTAGGAGCAGAGGTCTCTGGGACCACCAACGGATAAGAGCCGAGAACTGGACCCCACCCAGAGAACCGGGGATGCTTGAAATGGAGATAGAGATGATGACATGGAGGGATGAAGTAGCTGGGGACTTTGGATCCAGAGAGGGAAAGGAACTGTGGGCCGAAGAATGAGGGGTAGGGAGGAGGGTAGAGCACAGACTAATAGGATATGCCCTTTGGTCGGAAGACGATGCATGGAGGGGATTGGAACCATGGCAATGTAATGATATACGATGGAATGAATATGGAACTGAGGTTCTTTCATGTAAATTATCATATAATTCACAATAAAACATTAAAAAAAAAAAAAAGAAATCAAACGACGCATTGCATTAGGCAAATCTGCTGCACAAGACCTTTTTAAAGTATTGAAGAGCAAAGATGTCAGCTTGAGGACTAAGGTGTGCCTGATCCAAGCCATGGTATTTTCAATAATTTCATATACATGCAAAAGCTGGACAGTGAATATGGAAGACCACAGAAGAACTGATGCTTTTGAGTTATGGTGTTGGAGGAGACTATTGAAAGTGCCATGGGCTGCCTAAAGAACCAACAGATCTGTGTTGGAAGAAGTGCAGCCAGAGTGCTCCTTGGAGGCTAAGATGGCCAAACTTCGTCTCTCATATTTCAGGCATATTGTCAGGAGGGACCAGCTGCTGGAGATGGATATCATGTTTGGTAAGGTGGAGGGTCAGAGAAAAAGAGGAAGACCCCCCCAATGAGATGGATTGGCCAAATGGCAGCATCAATGGGCTCAAGCGTGGCAACAATTGTGAGATTGGCCCAGGACCGGACAGTGTTTTGTTCTGTTGTGCATAGGGTTACTATGAGTTGGTACTGACTTGCGGGCACCTAACAACAACAACAATCTGCCTGTTATTTTATGTAGAGAAGAAAGTGAAGTTAGCTGCTAAGTTTTATGTGGGGTAGAGGTTCTGGTAGGCAATGTACAGAATTTCAAATTTCACCACTGTCAATATACCCCAGTAGCCAGTATACTAATCAAAACCAAGTGAACAAACCCATTGCTGTTGAGTCAATTCCTACTCATAGTGACCCTATAGTGTTGAGCAGAACTGCCCCAGAGACTACAAATCTTCACAGACTGCCACATCTTTCTTCCATGGAGTGGCTGATGGGTTCCAATAGCTGACCTTTTGGTTAGCAGCCAAGTGTGTTACAACAGTGCCACCAGGGCTCCTGTAGGTACACCACTAATGTCTGATCTGCTAAAACATGGAGTGGACAAAATGTTTCCAAGAAAAACCCTCATCTAAGGGTGGCTGTGTATGTTTTCTATGCATGAAAGACCATTGCCTGTGGCAGGGCTTTTACACTTCTGAGTGGATAAAGTAACCAACATCACTTAGACCACTTGCTAACTGGGGTCCTAGATAGCGCCTAGTTCCAAAAACTTCGAGCTAGCATAGAACATATACCACCCTCTTAAACTATTATATGGAGTCCTTGAGTAGTATAAATGGTTAACATGCTCAGTGGCCAATGTTTGGAGAAGCGTCAGAAGAAAGGCCTGGTGAACTACTTTGAAAGCATCAGTCATTGAAAACCCTATAGGGCACAGTTCTACTCTGATACATACGGGGTTCACCATGAGTCAGAGTTAAATGGATAGCAACTGGTTTTCTCTAAACTATTATATATTAAAAAAAGTTTCTTTCAATAAGAAGTACTATTCATTCTTCGTGAGTGGATTTGTAGAACAATTACAAGTACTCTAATGGTTATCATTACCTCTTTTTTGGCTTCTTTTTTAGGATCATAATCACTATCATTTCCATCCATTGGGTGTGTTTCCTCCACATCATCATCACTAGGAAGAAATAAAGATTAGAAAAAAACTTAATTCCCTCCTTTTAATTCTGTTCGATTGTTATTATCTAACTTCAATATACCTTAATAATTTAAAAATATTTTTCAATATAACAACAGCTGCCTTTCGGAAGATGAACTTGTAATTTAGATTTTGTAGTGTTTAGATAATATTCAACCTTTTGGGCATATAGAATCATTTAGCAAACATCTCTAGCTAAGAAAGAGAGAGAGACAGACTCAGTTGGAAAAGGGCTTACAAAATATTATTGGGCAAGAGAACACGAACATATTTTAGTTCTCTGGCTGGAGGATAAAGACAGACAAAACCCAGTAAACAAAATGATTTTATGCTATTAGAAAGGTTCAGCTACAATAATGAGGACTTCCAGATATTTAGGCAATGGTGGAAGGAGGATCTTTCAAAGAATGTATTCTAAATATATGTATTAACTATATCAATACTAAAAGGAAACATTTGTGATTACTGCTAAACACAGCTCAAACACAATTCAGATGGGATGTTTACTGGTTATGATTAACATCTAAAGAGTTCAATAGAGTTCTTACTATTAAGGTTTCTGACCACTCAGCTCTTCCTGTCAGAGTAGAAACAGAATGTAAGGATATAAGTATTTACAACATAATGTGATAATTTTTTCTGCCTTAGGAGATAAAAGCAACTCAATGCAGAGTCCCCAACAATGCAATTATATAAAGGCATTCAACATACCTGTCACCCTGATTATGTCTATTAGCTAGTTTACGAGCCTGGCGATCCATCAAACTTGTCCTAGACCGAGTTTTTTTCCATGAATAGTAATATTTTACAAGGCTTGCAATTGTCTTATCTGGAAGCTTAAAAAACAAACAATAACAACAACAACAAAAACACATGTTAAACTAGCTATACAGCACATTAAAGCATGCATGAAAAGATGCTTATAAGTACTTTTATTAGTTATAGAGCTAAATAGTGCTGTTACTGTCATCATGCCCTGTCATACGTATGTCACTGACATTTCTGAAAGAATATTCCTATTTGTTCCTGGAGGGGAAGTGATCACAACCTAACAGTCAGAATAGCTCCAGAAGTCCCCCGGCACAATCATGTTAGTATTCAGTATTTGTTTTCTTTACAAAGTGACTGAAGTTTTCCCGCTCTGTAAATCAAGAATTCTTTAAATTGAGAAGATTTTAAATTAAAATTCATATACTATAAACGTGACCATTTTGAAGTGTACCATTCATTGGTTTTTAGTATGCTATGTTGTAACCATGGTTTGTAATTCTAGCCCATTTTCATCACTCCAAAAAGAAAGCCTGTACCCATTACCAAGTTCTCTCCATTTCTCCTACCCCCATCTCTTGGTAACCACTTTGTATTTCTATGGTTTTATCTATTATGAAGATGTCAATAAATGGAATCATATATGTGACCATATATGTGACCTTCTTTTACTTAAACTCTTTTCAAGAAGAGCACTCAACTCTTTAACAGTAAATTTTGGGTATTAATATGACTAATGACCATGCATTGATCTGTCTGTCATACTGGTGAACAAGGCTGTGCACTCCTTGTTAAAAATTTACTCTTTGATTATGTAAAACATCTAGACATATTTGAAAACCCTGTCTAAATTCCATCCACTCAGGTTAAAATAGTTTATTGCACAATTTCTCAGGTTTATATTATCTTGACACAAAATGAAAATGTAAGCATCAGAAATATATACAGCTTTTCTTCTTAAAAACAAAGAAACAGCAGCACCTGCACAATACTGAAATAATGACATTTTTAAAAATGGGCTTTCATAGCCAAAAGTGTATTTTAGAAAACAAAGTTCTAAAGATAAAAAATGAAACATTTCAAAATTAAAGTTACGATTCTTCCTCTGGCCCCTGGAACTGCAAATATATTTAATAACTATTATACACACATTAAAGTAAAAATAAATAGTTATTGTGAAATAGCATATAATATCATGCATTTCAGTGGTTGTAGAAAATAGGATTGTATGCAAATACACCTATTTCAAAACATTTTAAAACAAATAACGTTGGAAAACTGTTGTATATTTAATAATTAATACTTAAAAGCACAAGATGTCATTCAAGTATAAATCACAATAAGACCAAAATTACCATACCATTTGCTGAATCCTGTGAAAGCTCTTCCCATGAAAACTAAAGGCTTGTTCAAATAGGACTTTATCTTCCACTGTCCACTCATCCGGAAAGGGAGTGAAATTAGGGAGATCAGCAAGGGACTTCTCAATGTTATGTTTATGCCAGAACAACATGCCAAGTGCCTTTGAAGAGAAATCATTCCCCTTTGGTTTTAATGGGCTTATGTTTCATCACACTTAAGAAAGTTCAATACAAATTAGATTAAAATGTTAAGCCTGCAAGTTCAACTGAAAATACACTCACAGTTTGGGGCTTTTAATCAAGGGTGCACAGGTAGGAGAGCTCATTTAGTGATTTCTTTTAAATCAGGGCCTCAGAACAGTGACTGTTCTTACATACCATATTTGCTGCAGAATCTAGGAAAAACAGTGAGCTGAGGAGAGTGACTACTGTAAATACTAAAGCAGATTTGTAGGCTCATATCAAGACTTTCACCCATATTATCCATTTGTCAAAGTATGAAAAAATATTATAACAGGAAAATATCCAGGAATCAATACTTGAGTGAAGCCTGAAACCAAAAGTGCTCAGTAAAGGGGGAATTCAATAGAGAGATATTGAAATTTTAACTTTCGGACATATATTATGGATGAAACACTAGAAGAAAGAGTATCTCAACTATGACTTTAACAAATTAATATTTTTCAGAGCTTTTTATATATACCTAGATTAGTCAAGTCACATCAACAACTGAAATGACTTACTTAATCACCAAGTCATTGGAAAGCCTGAAATGGACAACTTCCAACAATTCCATAAATTTCCTCTCTATTATAAAACAGTAGGTCTTTATTATGAGTATCTGTAGGACAAGCACTGGACTGGTAACCACAAAGTTGGCAGTTCACACCCACAGGTGAAACCCACCAGTCACTCTTGGGTTGCTGAGTCGGAACTGACTCAAGGTCACACAATGACAACAACACTTTTATTAAAAGGTATTAAATATTACTTAGAAGATAAATATACTTTTTAAAACGAGACACAACTTCCTAAGTAGTGATCTGGGAAGTTAGTTTCTGAAACATATGGGCAGTTGCATTTTAAAGGAATAATTTTCTTAAACATGTCTTAAACAGAAAGTCAAGGCTTAAAAACAAAATATACAATTAAGGACTAACAAATCCACACCAAAAGATGAATGCCATTTGGAAAAAAATGCCGCAGTGTCACATATGTGATGTTACCCTGTGAAATCATTCTGATGATGTAAGTTACACACACCTTCCCTACTCTATAAAAACCAATAGAATGACTTTATGATGAACTCTGATGAAGACTGGCACACTTAGTTGAAATCAGATTTAGGAAGTTTTATTCCCTTTCTCCATGTTCCCCACACCCTTATGACTAGAAATAATGAACTAGATACATGGTCTTTTTACGTCATCTAACAGAGAAGGAAAGAAAAAACAAAAACAAAACACAACCTCTTGAGGGAGTGATTAACTTTGCAGTCTAGGAGCAGAGGTCCCTGGGACCATCAAGGGAGAAGAGTGGAGAGTGGGATCCTACCCAGAGAAGCAGTGATGCCTGAGATGGAGGTAGAGATGATGAAGTGGAGAGATGGAGCAGTTGGGGACTTTAGACCCAGAGAAGGAGAGGGGCTGTGTGCTGACGACCGGGGAGCCGGCTTGTAGTGTATACCCTTTAGTTGGTTGATGATACATGGAGGGGATTGTAACCATGGCAATGAAACGAAATACGATAGGATGAATGAAAAACTAATGTTCTCCCATGTAAACTACCACATAATTCACAATAAAACATTAAAAAAAAAAAAAGAAAAAAAACAAAACACCTCATGAATTATTTCATTTAAACTTTTGAAAAAGTCTTAAATATTTCTTTAAATGACAAGTTTAACTTTTAGACCTCTTCATATAAAATGTCAAAGAAAATTACCTACGTTTGTAAACTTAAAAAAAAAAAAAGATTTAAAATTCTATTCATGTAACTTCTTTCTCATTTTGGAGTATCTGCTAGAGTAATCCTGAAGGCTTTCACATACTTTCAGAACTCAAAGCAGAATAAGAAACATAGGTGTTGCAAAACAAGTGCTCACCTTTGAGATGAGTAAAATGCAACAATTCCTAATACTGAAAAGGTCAGGCTTTGTTAGATTCTTTGTGGTATCTATAGAGTTGGGTTCAAGCTTACCAGCTGCTTCTTGAAAACCCTATACAGGGTCACTGTGGGTCGGAAATGACTTGACGGCACTTAACAGCAAACAACGTAAAGTTGGTTGAATGTATGTGTATGTACTTTCTTTGGCCAGAAACTATCATTAGATGTTCTTTGCATCTGGTAAATACTGAGGCAAAGCGTTAATGCTATTTCTGTACATACCTGCTCCACATTGTAGCCATGTTTTTCCTTTGCAATTGCAATATACTCATCCACTGTAACAAAATAATGACATACAATTATTCTCATTTTTCCAGGTTTACTCTTTATAATATAGCAAAGTAAAATAATTCAGAGTCCAGGTATTAAAAAAGAAAGAAAGAAAGAAAAAAAGCCAAAGTCATCTTTCAAGAAATCTTATAATAGGAGACTTTTACAGTATCAAAAGCTCACTGAATTAAAATTTTACTTAGTATCGCTTACTTCTATGATCATACATGTATTCAATTCAATGGCATTATATTAGAATTATAATGCAAAACAATTATAATTATATTTATATTATAATTTATATAACATAAATTATGTTTTTATTATAATCATAATATAAAACAATTATAATTGTTTTACATGCAAAAAAAGACCAATGTGTTGGAAGTCAAGAAAACCTAATTACAGTAAAATAAATCTAATTATAACAATATGTTAAGACAAGTTTTTGATTTTCAGTTCCATTATTTATATGAGGAGACTTAATTGTTTAACATCCTCTCTCATATTTAGAGGTGACCCAAAGCCTTTACCATTTCATTTCTGACTGCTGCATAAAGGATGGCTTTATCTGCAGTTGTCACCTATACATAATGATGACATATTGAAGTATGCTTCAGTATCCCTAATGGGGTACGTCCCTAATGGAGTTCAAATTGCTAACCTTTCAATTAGTAGCTGAGTGTTTTAGCCACTGTGCCACCAGTGGTGAAAGCACTCAGCTACTAACTGAAAAGTCGGTGATTTTGAGCTCCCAGGCATTCGAATGGAGATAGATGTGGTAGTTTATTTCCATAAAGATTTGTAGTCTTGGAAATCCCATGGGGCAGTTGTACTCTATTCTATATGGTCGCTATAAGTCAGAATCAACTCAGTGGTAGGGAATTTGGTTTTTGATTTTCAGCATCCCTGTAATTTTTTCCAGCTCTTCCTGTGTGCTTGCTATACAAAACGTATTTGAGTAGAGGTGGGGCTTGATGGCAGATAGGGTAGAGGTGCTGTGAAGTTTGCCATCAGCAATACCACAGAATACCAGGCGAAGCAGGTTCAGGGCAGAGCTCCAAAACTCTGAACCACATAGGTAGGATTTTTTGAAAAGTATGAAGGCTTGTAGCTGGTGGAACTTGTACCGGAAGTAAGAAATAGCATACTTTTGACTCTGCCGGGCTCAGTGGCCCAGAGCCAACAACTTGGGTGAGACCAAACGGCAAGACCAAACGGGAACAGGCCATGGAATAACGCTGTGGGAACCTTGGAGCAAAGGTAGACAATACACTTTGTTGGTTTTGCTTTGTTCTGATTTTCTGTTTTTTTGTTTTTGTTTTTGTTTTTTTGTATCTGTTCATTGGGCCCCCTACTGGAGACTCATTACGCACCTCCATTCTGGTGAGTAAAGGAGGTGCCTGAGCGAGTGTACATCCCCCAACCCCACCACTGGAGGGTTCTTCTGCCACACATGCACACATACTCTTGGCCATGAACTGTTTTTTAATAGGGAAAAGGCCAGAACAAGGGGTGTGGAGAGGGAAAGAGGGTTTAAAAACAAAACAGGCCGAACATTAAGTTACATCCTGAGGTATAGCATAACAACCAACTGTGGCATCTTGAAATTTACCAGATGGTCTTGAAGACAAAACGCTGGAAGAGGACATTAAAGTCATACTCATATTAGGATACAGATATCCCCCCATTCCCTTCTCTCCCTCCTCTGCAATGTTAGACTACAGTATCCAATCTAGTTTTGTTGTTGTTGTTTTTGGTGGGTTTTTTTTCTGTTTCTTTTTTTTGCTGTTGCTGTTTTATGCTCCCCCTTTTACCTTTGGGGGATGCTTTCTCTCCCTATATTACCTAAGAAAAGGCAGAAACTGCTGCCTTATAGTCAAGCTATAATCACACTCTATAAAACATCAAAATCCAGGCAAGAACCAATACCAACTGCCATATACCAGGAAGGCAGACAACACCTGTGAAAGTTACTCTGAGTTAAGCAATAAGAAGAGTGAAAATGAAGCCCACATCCTGACCACATCTCCCTGGAAGCAATCAGAAAACATACAAAATACCAAAACACACACTCGATCAAATATTAAGGCCACAGATAAACACTAAACATGTTCAAGAAGCAAAAGCAGATGACCATATCAGCACATGTCCAGAAACAAGATAAAATTTCTGAGACAAATAACCTAGAGGTAGACCTGGACTCCATTCTGGAAAGAGGGCATACCTTGGAAATGCCTGAAGAGGAATTCAGAAAAATGAATATAAAATGTTTCAAAACATTTACAATGGACTGGATAAAAATAAGGGGGAAAAGTTACGAAAGCGCTACAGGAACAATCAAATAATACAGCACCTAAGGAAGAGGTCCAAACAATCAATAACAGAATATCAGAAACAGACAATACACTGAAAGAGCAAAGGAGTAGAATAGAAGAGATGGAAGGCAAAACTAGTGAGCTGGAAGACAAATATCTCAACAACTCTAAGATAGAAGAACAAACAGAAAAAAGTATAAAAAAACCTGAAGAAGGTCTAAGATTCATATTGGTCAACATTAAGAGGAATAACTTAAGAATTATGAGCATCCAGAACAGGAAGAACCACACAAGTCCACAGAGGAAACAGTTGAAGAACTGCTGGAAGAAAATTTCCCTAACATCCTGAAAAGTGAAAAGATAAACAGTAAAGAAGCTCAACGAACCCCAAGAAGGATAGAACCCAAAAGAAAATCACCGAGACATGTCATAATCCAGCTCGCTAAAATCAAAGATAAGGACAAAATGCTGAAAGCAGCTAGGGAAAAGAGAAGTGTTACATATAAAGGCAAGCAACTCAGATTAAGCTCGGATCTCTCAGCAGAAACCATGCAAGCAAGAAGGCAATGGGGAGACATAGATAAAACCCTGAGAGAAAAAAAACTGTCAACCAAGAACCCTTTATCCAGCAAAGCTATCAATAAATTCAATGGTGTAATCAAAACATTCCAGGATAAACCGAAGCTAAGGGATTTTGCCAAAGCCAACCCTGCGCTACAAAACATCCTAAAGGGAGTTCTGTGGACTGAGAACCAAAAAGAACAGACAACAACCAGAGATTGACATACGTGGCAGCACCTCCCAGAACTAAATTGACATAAGGAAGAGCCAAGAACAGAACAAAACTATAAGAACAACCTCAGAGAATCTGGGAGGTGAGTCTAAGATCAAAACAATTACAATGTAGAAGAAGACAAACATGTAGGAACAGAGATCCAGATGGTGAGAACGTCAGGTAGATTACAGCACAAAACAGACTGTACTAAATGGAGGGAAAAATGAATGGACTCTACGATATCCTCAAAGAAAATTAACACTTCACAACATACCAAGAAAATGAAAATCCAAGAAGAACATGGAAACATTAAAACTATGAGGAAACTCTCAAGAAAGTACACAAAAAGTATGAACTCAGCAAAGGAAGGCACACAGAACAAAGAGAGCAGCAACACCACACACACACACAAAAAACATAATGGCAGCAATTAATCAATACATATCAATAATAACACTGAATGCAAACAGATTAAATGCACCAGTTTAGAGATGGAGGGTGGCAGAATGGATAAGAAACAACAAGATCCTTCAATATGCTGTCTGCAAGAGACACATCTTACACACAGAGACAAAAACAGATAAAGAGTCAAAGGATGGAATAAAATATACCAAGCTAATTGCAATGAACATTTACTGATGAAGATCAAAGAGCACAGCATTCGGTATGGATTACATCTCAATGTCAAGAAAACAAAAGTCCTCACCACTGGACCAATAAACAACATTCTTAGTAATGGAGAAAAGATTGAAGTTGCCAAGGACTTCATTCTTCTTGGATCAACTATCAACACTCAC